CACACACACTCCCCCCTCCATTATCATCTGACCAGGTCTGAAAAAAACACCCGCTCTTGTCTCTGTAAAGTTGACTGTCTGGTGGGTACAAAAGACCCGAGATTTCCCGCCGTAGATAACAAAAGTTGTTTTTCTGCACTGATTTTTGCAGGCCAAAATTTCGACCTGTCACAATTTCTTGATGTATATTTTGCATGAGCTGGGGGTCTTTTTTGCTTACACAGTGAATCCATGAACGAGCTATCTCTGCCTAAAAGAGGCCCAGGGGACATCAAACTACGGTCTACAGGCCAGATCCGGCCCGCGAGGTCTGTTTGTCTGACCCATCGCCATGCCAACGTGAGGGGAGAGAAGATGTCTGTGTTTGTAGAGCGCTCGAGACCCAGCCACCAAAAACGTTAAATCATGTTGGGGTTTTTTTGTTGTTTTTTTTGGGGGGGTGTTTTGTTGTTGTTGTTGTTGTTGTTGTTGTTGTTGTTGTTTTGTTGTTGCTGTTGTTGTTGTTGTAGTTTTGTTGGGGGGGGGATGAGAGTAAGTGTTTTACGGTGCTCGCAACTGCATAAGGTCATATGAGCGGGCGGGACACTCTAAACATCGTCAGCTTGTAGGAAACTTTTAATGTTCCCCTAGTGGCTGCCGAAGTCTAGTTACTTAATAGACTTGATGCTGAGCTGTGCACATCCACAAAGGGAAGTGGAGCATTTCAATGTTCAAAATGCGACAAACTTTTCTCTGCAAGAATTGGGTCTCATCGTCCACGACAAATGCCACAAGTCACTTAAACCTTTTACTCTTCTTTGTCGCTTTACAAAAAAAAAAAAAAAAGAAGAAATTCTCCTCTGCAGATACATTGGTCATCGTCAGACATTGACTTCATAACTTCTAGCTGTTGTATCACACTCTTTCTTGGCTTCAACATGATAAATAGTCTATAATAATAATAATAATAATAATAATAATAATAATAATAATAATAATGATAATAATAATAAATGACATTTATATAGCGCTCAACCCAGATTAAAGTATACAGGCTCTGAGTTCATTCAATACTTTGGCGTATTGTATTAAGCAAATTCAATAAATATCCGACCCGCCTCCCTCGCCATTCTCTCAGTTATTTGGCCCACTTTGAAAAAACTTTGGGGGCTCCTGGTCTAGACAGATGACACATTCTTGAAGGAAAAATTCAATTTTTTTTAAAAATTAATTGTGTCTGGTTGTATTTTTTTTTAATAAAACAATTCTTTTGAAACACTGTTCATTACATACAACTTGGGTTGAATTTTTGACGGAGTGTTTTCCTAGGGTTGGAAATCCTGCATGATGAACACGATAAGATGTGATATAATGAACCACTTTAACTTATAGGCATCAAATAGTTATAGAAATCATATTATGTTACAGCAAAGGCAAAATCAAAACTGATGCCACTGGGCGATACAAGTAAGTTTTTTTTTCAAAAGTACTTTTAAATCATGATGAAATTCAAGGTTTAACGTTAATGGGGGGGGGGGGGTTTCCTAATCTATATTATTATAGAAATTCTTTTCAGCTGTATTTTTAAATCGTTATGAAATTAAAAGGGTAACTTTAATGTCTTTTTCCTCACTTGTCTTTCAATTCATATCTGGTGTAATTGTAACAATAACGGAGAAATATTTTCTTCTTCTGTTTAACAATTCCTCTCTTATGTAATTGTTTTAAAAAATGATGAAATATTTTCCTTACCTGTCTAGAAACTGGACAAAACAAGGAAGAGTAGCACAAGAAACTGAGAAGTCTTGTCCAAGTTTTCTCGAGAGTAGATGGCTTTCATCACTGAGACTTCTCACTATATATATCCTTTCAAATATATTTGCGATTACTCAACAAAAATCTCTGGCCCACGACAACACTTTTTAGGGCAAGAACGGACCGTCTTTGGCCCGTATATCGAGCTGTTTCCCCAGCTCTTGCATGACAATTTCTGTGTTGGCGCTCACGTCTTTCCGGGAGAACCCGTTTCTGGGCCGACTTCATAATAGCATTTTATTACAGAATCGATACTTCCAAAAATAATTGCCATTCTGTCCTCTTTGCAGCAGTGTGATAGGCTATCCTGTAATCAGAAAGGCATTTATTTTGTTTTTAGAAGTATCGATTCTGTGAACGAGCGGAGCAACTACTGTTGTAAAATGGACCAGATACGAGCAAGGACTAGATCTAGTTTATGCACCCCGGTCCCCATTGGTGTACCCCAGTCAGTGTCGTCCGCAGACGTAGAATCATGCCAGAGTGCACGTGGATATAGGGTGACGTCAGAAGGCGCGTGAAAATCGCTACCAGACAACTCTACAGTCTACACTGTCGACTTCTCTTTATGAAGTCGGAATCATTATAATTGTATACGTGCATAATTTAGGAATCCAAACAGTTACTTTATCTTTCCTATCTAGCGGCCATCTGGATTCTAGCCCTTCGGCCTTTGATATGGCATTGAATTTACTGGTTTTTAAGAGCTGCGTTCTGCCGCTGTCCAATATCTGGGGAGGCAGGTAGGTAGGTACAACGCTCGCAGGGGCGGTTCGTGAGTCTAAAAAGTGGGCGTGCACAATTAACTTAAAGCAGCTTTAAAATAGTCAAGGGCATGGTAAATGAGATGTATGTTGTGTCGAGTTTGTAGTTCTTCAGAGTTGAATAAAGGCCCTAGATTGCACGACACGGAGTAGACTTAAATGTTTCTTTGCAATATAATATTTCTCATTATGTTTGTTCCTTGATTGTATGCGAAACTGAGTAGCTCTCTGCTAGGCATATACAACCAAAAAAAACCTGTAAGAAACGACTTTTGATAGTCCTGGGCATTGGAGGGGTCGACAACGTATAGTGTATTGATTTTATTTTGCTTCAGAAAACGGTCAACAATCTGATTGACTATTATGTCTGTTACAGGCCTCCTTTGCAGCAATTTCGTTGGTGTTGTGATGTTATTTTTAGACTGCCTCTAAGAGCTTTGTTCGGCTGGTGCACATTGAGATTGTGCCGCCTTATTAATTAGTTATGTACTATGAAACTTTCTCTAAACGTCATCGTTGTTGGGTCAGCCCATAGAACATTTTTCTAGTAAGATTACCTTCAGTGAACATACTATTTATTACTTGGGGGAAGCACGAGAACTTGATTAGGTATATGAAATATGTTGTAGAGTGCTAGAGATCTTCTAATGACAGATTAGGCGATGGCGAGGATCTTGTATGGAAAATTGATTGGATAGTGGACGTAAAAGTATTTTTTATTTTCTCTATGTGGATATTGTGCACATTACAATAATTTAGGCGGCAGTGCACGGCCGTGTTCTATGGACGAGCCGCCCCTGAACGCAGGTCGTTTAGTGCAGGGCAGGTAAAGAGATGGTGTGATACTGTTTCATCCTGGCAGTCACACAACGGGTAGTCAGGTGGGGTGTCCTTGAGGATCCTATTTAGGTAGGAATTCAGTTGGATGTTGTGTTTGCAGGTGAACGATAGTGCCTCATTCTCTTCTACTCAGGGAATTTAGAGCGTCTTTTGAGTTGGGAGCAGTCATGTGTGCAAATACAGCTCGTCCAGTTTTGCCAATGCCCACCCATTCAGCCACGGTACCCTAGTATTGCAATTTGATGATGTTCCTGACTATCTGTTGTGATACTGGGTTCTGAGGTTGCGTTTGTGATGCATCCTTCTTGGCTGTGGTATCTGCTCTGTCGTTTCCTGGGATGTTGCTGTGGCCAGGTATCCACTGTAAAGCCAGGTCGATGGCATAGGTCTGCATGAATGTGTTAATTGTTACAGCCTCAGAGAAGCAAGCTAGACTTTCGAATTCATGTTTTACAAAGCTTGAAGTATTGATATTTCGTCTGATAAGATTACAGTATCCCTGATTTTGTCTTGATGTATAATGAAAATGTTATTCAGATGGAGGGTTGCTGCCTCAAAGGTGATGGCCTCTGCCTCATAATTTGTACAGGAAGTACCATAATCATCAAAAAATAGTTCTTCACACGTCTTGTAAGGATTTTATTATTCTTACTCTAAAGCCTACATTAATCGTTCCCTTGCAGGCTGGCCCATCAGTGTAAATATGGATGGAATCACTAGGGTAGGAGTCAACTGTTTTGAGAGCTGTGGTCTTCAGTTCTACTGGGTCACACTCCTTTTTCATTGTCTCCTTTATCAGGGAAGTTTTGATTTTGGTGTTCTTGATGTTGGTGTTTTGGGGGAGTTTTGGTCTTAAGAGTTTCAGCATTTCTCTGTTACCTGGAAGATGTGTTTTTCTTGGCTGTGTCAAATATTGATCTTCCGTTGATTCGTTTCTTTGGTCGTCTCGTTTCAGTGATCTTTCTGTTTGGGTGGTTTTTGTCCAGTCTCTTGTAGCGCTCACTCATCTCCACAACTGCTGCCTCTCTCCGCAGGTCCAAAGGTTCTAGGTTTGTATGGATTTCGAAAGCTGCAGTTGGGGTGGATCTCAGAGCTCCTGAGATAAACCGTACATTGTGATTCCGAATTTTGTCAATAGACCTCTGAGTTGGTTTGCTGCAGATTGTCTGTAGGGTTAAAAGTTATATTCCACGGCAGAGCGTACATAACCAACATAAAGCTGTCTGTGTTCATCCTTGGCCGCTCCCCATGAAGTGCTAGCCACCTGTCAGAGATGGTTAAGTCTCTTGTTGGCCTTAGTCTTCAGGTTCCAGATATGATTTTTGCCTGAAATCTCTCTGTCCAGCTCGATCCCGAGGTAGGTTGGGTTTTCAACTTTTTCGAGTTTGTTTCCTGCAAGTGTGATGTTAAGATTTTCCTTTGCGACCTTGTGACTTTTAGTAAAAACTGTGTAGATTGTCTTGGTAACCTAAACAACTGAACCTTTCGTTAAAGAACAATGCCCAGGTGGAGAATGATTTGTTTGCAAAAATAAAACCAGTTGTGGATACTGCAAACTGTAGGGGTGGTTTTATTTTATTTTAGTTAGAGTTTTATGGCACTTGCAACACAATAAGGTCTTATAAGTACCTAAGACTAGAGGTGTTACAAAAGAGTAACAAACACAAAAAAGAATGAGGAGAGTCAGGACGATACATGCTTCAAAAGGAAGAAGGAACATTAAGCCGCACCACAGCACCTGCCAGCCTTCCACCAACCTAATTTATGAGACCTAAGTGCTCAACTTAATCAAATATATTAATATATACCGCTTCTTAATCTCCCTCTTGCGAACTGAACTAAGGTCTTCTGGCCAAACCGTTATACCAAACACTCTGTTTAGTTATTATAAATGAACACACAGGACTATGCAATCTGTTGAGTTAATCCACTTCTGTACACATACATCTTTCTGATGTACTGTAACTATGTTTCTTTATTACTGACCTCCAAATTCAAGGCAGACTGGTCAAACCTCCCTCATCCCTTTTTTCTACCCCCCCCCCCTCCCTCTCTCTCTCTCTCTCCCCTCCCTCCCACGTTCTTGTCGAGAGCGATTCGCACGCTCTTTTCCCACTCTCCTCTTGCACAGAGAGGCCAGATTTCTTAAATACTATCCCTAAAACCCATATCCCCGGCCTCCTATCCCCCCTCTTCTTTTCACAATATAATTATATTTTGATAATAGGTAGCATTTGTATAGCGAAAATCCCCGCCCAACTGCAAGCTCTATGCGTTTTACGATCTATACTATTACCCCAGCAGACCTGAGAGCATTCTGAATAAAACTCAACTTTCTGGGAAGCATACAGTTCAAACTGTCATTTATGGGCGTTAAAACACTAACATAGAGAAGATCTTTTGCTGTCTATGGCCATGTACCCATTCCCACCTGTGTGAAGTGAGGAAAATTCGTGTAAAGTGCCTTTCCCGAGGACACAACGTCGGGCCGGTGGCTCAAACCTCCGAACCCACAACCTCACGAGTACAAGTCCCTTAGCCTAACCACAAGGCGGGGGGCTATCGTGGCCTTGAGGTTAAGGTGTTCGCCTCTCATTCAATAGGCCCCGGGTTCGAATCCGGTAAGCGACCGAAATTTTCTTTCCTAAAATGGCCTCCTTTCACATCCTTTCCATCTCTCTAACATTGTTCTGTCGTCTACTTTCGTCTCCACTTTCTGCCCCCACCACCTCACCTCCTTTGCCCCCCTCCTCTGGGCTCTTGACTCTTTCTGCAGCCTTTCTACTGCTTCTCCTTTGCTACTTCTTACCGCTGTCTTTCAGCCGCACCCCTGATCTTATGGTAGGTAAGATCGAACACCTAGCCTTCTCGGACAAGGGCGAAAAATCTCTGAGGTCCCGTGTGCAAGCTGCGCGCGTTAAAGATCCCTTGGTTGTCCAAAATCAATAAGAGTAGGCTTCGGTCGCCACCCGGGCAAAATTCAAAATTTCCTACCCCCTGAAAATGTTTGGTGTGTCCCGCGCGCTCATATGACCTTATGCAATTGTGAGCGTCGTAAAAAACACACACCAAAAAAAAGTTATAACTTGTTTAATAACCACTAGGCCATCGACGCCACGTAGCCCGTGACCTCTCTGTCCCCGTTCCCAGAACTGTGGACTGGCCTTGTTTCTCACGGTGCCACAAGGAACTGCATATATCATGCATATCCACTTTCTATAGCATAATTATTGTGCCTCGGGTTTTGCAACTAGTATTTCCCCAGCAAATCTTAGAACGCTCTAGAACACTATAGAACATTCTGGGCTTCCCCTGGTATGAGATAGACGGACTGCACAGGGGCAGAATATGAGATACACGATTGACACGAGGAAGATGGGGTAGGTCATTCGCATGAGGATAGGTTAGGGGCTGGGTGAGAGAGAGAGAGAGAGAGAGAGAGAGAGAGA